GGCTCCATAATAGTAATTAACTTCTTCCATTTTACAAAAAAAAAAAAAAAAATTTTTCATTTTACATCTAACTTCTATAGGAAGAATTTTATATGAAGTTTTTTTATTTCATTATCTCTGTATCCATTATCTTGTAATTCTAGGAGTGATTCACATTAGAGATCATTTTAGAAGATAAAAATTTTTGCTGAGTTACCTTTGTTCACAATCCTTTTGCTTCCTTTTGTTGACCTCCGTATATTTGTCATTGATCAATGCAAGGCATACGGAGGTGTATTGATCGATATTGTTGGCAAACAAGATATCGTTCAGAACAAAGATCGCAGTTGTCCTCGATCATAATGAAATGAATTTAAATTTTGTTGATATTAAATGGACTTATTTGTTATTGGGATGCATTCAGGACATCAAAATATTCATAATAAAAGTTATTCGATGCAACTCGATAGCAAAGACAATTATGTTAGTGGATTGCGACGCTAGCAAAAACACTATCCAAATGGCATTCTACTTGTTAAACAAGCTTCGTCGATTGGGTTTAGAACATCCGAATCTTAACCAAAGAGGATCTCTCAAAATCAAACTGAACAAAGCCGATCAAAATTGAACGACATATGTGACGTGCCCAAATCGTCGTCTGTTTTGCCAAAATGAATATTCTTTGTTAATGTTCAGAATGTCGAACATACTAGAAAATGACTTATTTTGCATTGGATCGGATCCTTACACTAAAGCAAACAGCAAAATTGTAAAATCTTGATGACGATATGAGGCAGTTGACAACACAAATGACTAAGATATATATATAGTAATATATATTAATATATATAAAGATATAAATATAATAAATAATAGTAATAAAGAATAATAAATAGATATAAATAATAGAATATAATATAATATTAAAATTTACTTTATCTTTTTAATTTAAATATAAACCTAAATTCTGCACATATATTTTTATGTTATATTAATATGTAATTATCTATATTTTCAAGATATATTTATGTAACCATATAATTATATAATTTTGTTTTATATAATCATTAGATATAAAATTCTGTGAACTTTTTATTCTAACTTTTGCTAATATATAAGTACAAAGTCTTTCTTCATTATCTTTAAAATAAGGGTAAGTGCATAATTTTAAATGAATATAATGATTCAAATTCTGACATGTGTATGCTCTCAAATAAACGTGTCTCTTGCCCTTGCTTTGCACCGCCTATGTATGTCTAAGGGATAATCATAATAATAATAATAATAAAAAAATGACGAGCTCATTCCTTCCACAAAGATTGATTTTATCTGTCGCATACAAGCCATTCTGTATACTTATGCGTCCTGATGCATGTTCTCAACCGCCTTATTCTGCTAAAATCCAAAGCTCTATCTCATTCTGGCATATATCTCTTGCTCTTTCTATTCTAAAACGATTCTCACGCCACTATCTCATTCTGGTGGAGAGAGAGACAATTATCTTCCTAACTATCTTATGTTGATGCTAACGATGAACAAAAAAAAAATTCGTATATTTGTCATGATCAATGCAAGCAAATTTGACCATGTGTTATTTTTGCCATGATCAAAGCCAAATATCAAAATTATTTTATTCCGTTGTAATCTAGTTGGTTAGGATATATGGCTTTCACCCAGACGACCCGGGTTCAAATAAAAAAAAAAAATTATACAAAAGGGGATGTTGATGCCAACATCCCCCTATCGTCAAAATGTCGTCAATATTATTGATGCCAAAAAGCATCAAAATGAGACAAACAAAAAATCCAGATTTGTTTTGTGAAGGAATATGTCAAAGGAGGTGAGCTTTTTTTAACAAGATGGTTAAAGAAGACATATGAGAATGCTCATTTATGAAATTCAAAATACACTTGAAAGGCACACTAGATTGAAGGCTATAATAAAATAAAATAAATAAAGAATCAAAACGCCACCGGATCCGCACCACTTTTACAAGCGGACAGAAGGAGTTTGTATGCCTCTAAATAAAATTTTGTGCATATCCTAATGGAAATCATTTACACAAATAATCATATTCAAACATTTAAAATGCCCTCCTCTTGCATTAAAATTGAATTTTCTAAATTTCAATATGCAACATCGAGTAGGGTATCGACAGCTCTAAGATGTGTAGCAGCCTTGGGAAGCAAGTGACTGCCCCAAGAAGAGTGCTACCGTCTTGAGAAGCAAGTCAGCTCGAGAAGCATGCAAATTAAAGTTTAAAAGCCTAATATACATGCTATTTCATCCCCGATGATGGCCATGTTAAAAGTCTATATCAACTGGAGGGGACTCTATATTTTCAAATGCCTCCAAATGCTCATGAAATGCAACTATTTTCTCAATGGCTACAATAAATCCCTGATGATGGCCGTGTTGAAAGGTAATCTCAACCGGAGGGGACTTCAAAACATGCATATTTGGAACAAAATTTTGATAAATTTTAAAATATTCAAATAAAATTTATTATTTAAAAACTTAAAGCAAAAATCCATCCATCATCCCCAAACGTTTGTTAAGGATGATAAATTTCATAATAACTTTAGCTCACAAAGAGCAAAATGTTTAATTGAATGTATCACTGTAATTCATTCTCAAATGATTTCTCACCAACAGGGACGTGGCATGTGCCCTCTAACCGGGTGGTTTTGCTGCAAAATAGCACCACTATATTACGGTTACGGTCAAAGCCCGTATGTTCTCCAATGGTTAAAAGCCCTTGAGTAATGAATTATAGGGTGTATTTAATAAGACATAAAGCTTTCTGTTAGCTAAGGTTGACTAAAATTTGTCTCCTTAAACAAGCATCCACCCCATGTCTAATATGTCCCCTTGGACGAGGCAACCCATGGCTGCCGACAAGGATTCTTCTGTCAGGTTGGGTCGACTACCTCCTCTGACTAAGTAGACTATGGACCACGATAGCCCGGGATGACGGAACCATGGGATCTTGATCGGGCTCATCATCATTCCCCCCACCATTCGCTTTAAGGATAAAAATAATAAATTTACAAAAAAATTCACATGTTGCTACTATATGCTAGGTATTTTGTACCTACTTCATGACTAGTCTTAATCGAAAGTGCTCTCTCGTGATCGAGAGGGGTAATTAACCATCGGTGCTTGCGCCTATGAGAAACCTAGAACCAGATTTTAAAGTTCTCACAAAATGAGAGTGAAATCTCTGGGTGGTGCTTTATCTCAAAGTTCATCTGCCTTCTGAAAATTTGACCTGGAACATCGTTAACACTCTCCTACGCAGGGGAGGACGGGGCCTTAATTTTCGGAGCCCACACCTTTTTTTTATTTTATCAATATCTTTTTTCCCCTACTTTTCTCTTTGCCTTTGTGAATATTAAAAAAAAAATATTATCAAGCTAAATATTATTGAAGCTTAGCTAGTGGGGAAATGCTCTCTGCTCCTTAGAGAAGAATCATCCTCCTCTATTAAATAAGATTGTTCAAATTTTAACTTTAATGAAAAATAAAAAAAACATTCATTCTTTAATATCATTAAAATTAGTGACATACATAATTTCAAAATCATTTAACAACAATTGATGATAAGTTAATCAAAATGTTTATAATCAATAGCTCCAAATATAGGACATGATAAATAAGAGTTTGATGAGTAAAGAATTTCAAGTGATTTCCAAAAATATAAACTATTAATAATTTTCAAAGCATTTTGATAATTATTTTGGTGAAATATGTGCATAGAAAACTCATCATGACCCTAAAGACACGAGAAGTAATCTAAAATATAAATAAGCTTCTATACTTGTGAAAAAAAAATGATGCAAAAAATGATATATTATTTCATTCTTCTCTAGCATAATGAACTACTAAAATTCATAAAATATCAATTTTATTTGCATTAAATTATTTTTAATAATTTATATTCTAGTTAATTGGAAAGTTAAAGCTATACATTTCTCACAAGCCCTATTGTATTGACAATGATTAATCATTAAAATCTATGAGAACTCTTCATTACCACTAGTTTTTTCATTGCCCACAATATCTTGTTATCTTCTCCCATTAGTGCATCTTCTAAAGGTGAAGAGAGAGGTCTATTCATAACTCTAAACTTTTATTTTGTCCAGTGAAAGGACATAGAGCTACGTTCGGCTGGCACTAGATCGTGCCACATAGCAGGCACAAAATCACGTATTTGTCAATTTTACTTGACAATAATGAGAAATACCATTATGTGAAGACAAATACCGAGCAATACCGAATAACACCGAGCAATATCGATTTTTTTCTAGAAAAACTCGATATTGCTCGATATTACTCGGTATTGATCTTCACAGGATGATATTTCTCATTATTGCCTAGCAATATCTAACAATACCGAGCAAATACCTGATAACTCAATGGTGACCAAACGTAGCTTCCATAAGTCTCCTCTCCAACAAGGTAGACGAGGGTAGTAAGATATTTTACTCCTTTAGGGAGATCTGGTGGTAATGAATATACATCTTCTTAACATTTTTGGCCATCTTTTCCTCTTCAACTATCCAACACAACAAAATAGTAAACATGCCTTGAGATCTTTTATATGATTTTGACTTGCAAAGATATTTTAAAGATTATGGATCATAGAAAGAGTAAAAATGAGAAAAATATAAATAGCATTAAAAGAATCATTTAATATAAGAAGACATTTCTTTATTTTAAACTCGTTCAATTGTTGCTTCCACTTGATATGCAGATCATATTCAATAGTATAATTTTTATAAAAAAAAAATATATCCACACACAAATACATACACAACACATTTGTGAGGCTAAAACCCAAGATCTCTTAATTGGGAGCCAAACACCCACCCAACAAACCAAAGAGAACTGCGAGGTATAATATTTAGGACTTGAGAAATAAAAAATATGAAAAATAAGAACTCAAAATATTCTTATCAATTTTTTTATTAAAATGGATTAAAAAAAAAGAATCAATGGATGAAGAACAACAGAAGTAATTACCATTAAAGAAGATATGTCCATGGGATTTATAACTTAATAACAAAAATAAGACATTTAATGATGCTCCAGCAATTACAAGGCTTCAATAAAAACACCTGCAAATGCCCCTCCTTTACAAAGAAAAATCTACACAGCTAATAAGCTCACCAACAAACTGGTGAATCTTCATTGAATAAAAGCCCAAAGGGACACAAAATTTTCAGCTAAAATGAGAAAACTAAATTTTATAAAAAATATATATATATCAAAATGAACTATTTGCTACATGATCATTCTTTCTTAATTTTACAGCTAAAAATAGTAAGAACCTGCAATTCATAAAAAAACACTTCAATTTTCCCTATTCTCTTACAATCCTAAGAAAAATAACCCATTAATATATATTTTTTGCATTTGGTTGCTCGCAAATTATTGGTGACTGAAATCAATGGAGTTAATTTAAGAAAATGTAAGAGCAGGTACCTCACATCTTCCTTTCAGACAGCTTATTGTCCCTTGAAACTTGTAGTGCTCAAAACAATGAATTTTCATCACCTGTGTAAGATATCAAATTTTATCAACATATCTGAGCAAGTTAAAAAAATATTCTACTTAAATAAAATATTGGCAACAAGGCAACAAATGGATAATAAGTTTTACATAGGTAGAATGTTCTTAGGGCCCATTTGGTAGTTTATAGATAGAAAACAAGACTTAGAAATTGAGAGAATTTCTGACATTAACAACTCCCTCAATATAGGAGATGTTGGTTTTGCATTTGTACAGATTTTAGAATTTGTTGGATGCTCATATGATTTTTTATTTTTATTTTTATGTAGGCGAATATTAGAAGTTAACAGGTGGGAATACCTCCTAGAACTAGATTTGTTTTTTCCCCTTTAATCCTTAGCAATAAAACATTCGCAAATTTCAACAAAAAAAATTGCCTTATCACTACGCACTTTCAAATTAGTAAGACAAACAAACGAGCTTTAAATAGTGAGAAACAATCATCAAGTAAATAAAAGATGGTAGTTAGGATCGTATCTAGAAAAACAGCCAAAAACAATCAAAATAAGCAACTTTCAGCAAAATGTAGTATCAACCAACTTCCGTGAGAGCCACAGAGAAATATGCAATAATCTATAATATCACAAACACAAATTATTCAAACTTGCATCTCGTTAGTAACCTAGTCCATATTTATGGATCCTCAATTTACATTCATTCTTATACAAGGCACATCAGTCATAACTTTTCGGAACAAATCATTCTGCACAACTTCTGGTCATGTTAATTTTAGTCTACTCCTTTCCTTCATAATCTTTCCATGTTAATTTTATCTATTTGTGTTATTAATATATCTTATATTCTCCATTGTATATGCCATTATACCCAAAAGAAATCAAGACTACTTTTCTACTTCCTCTTTTTTTTAATCTTCACTTCATGCTACTCAAACCATCTCTTTGATACAAAAATGCCTGAATCTTGTTGACCTCTAACTATCTCGAAGACTACTAACTCGTGTAACTACCCACGTTCGCTCCGACGTGTCTAAACGATGCAACGATCACGTAACTCCTGACGACAATAAAATTCACGCATAACCGCTTCCTCCCTCTATTCGACACACACAGACATAAAACTCCCTCTCTTCTCTTTGTTTGCATGCTTCTGATCCACCTCCGTCAACCCAACACCACATGACCGACCCAATCCATCTGATTCTGCCGACAATGGTCCCGATCCCGTGTGCCTGCGTCCGACCTTCCACACACTTGTGATTCATGCGGCTTCTCTACACGCATGACACCCGACCCACCATCTGACTTCGATCGACCCGATGCCGCACGGCCGACCATACCATCCCAACTTTGACTCCGGCCTCCCTACGGTCTTGTGCAAACAGCTTGCACTCGACCTCCCTTCGTTCGGTCTCCGCAAACAACTAGTAGTTGGCCTCCATCGATATAGTCATACGCAAGAACGAGATCATCCGATCCCGCAGCCAAACCTGTGCCTGATTGCCTCTGTATCCCGTCTGTCTCCTACACTCGAGCCGACTTCCAAACTCAATTTGCTCTCTACTTTCTTGAAATTGTGAGTGAGGAGGTAATTATTATTATTATTATTATTATTATTATTATTATTAAAAGCAGCAGCGTCGCAATCAAATTATTTGAGTCGAAGATCAATTCTGGGATTGATTCTTCCCCTGAAGCCCTCGATCGTTACTTTTAACCCGATCGAGCGGACTTGAAAGGGAAAATGCCCTACCCAACCTCCCATTGCGAGGAGGCGGTGAAAGGCTACCAAAACTCCATAGAAACGTTGAATTACAAAGTTCTCTTAATAAACATTTCGTTGTAGGACTGGAAGACCTATACCAAGACCCGTCGTTGTCCCGAAGCCCTCGGTCGTCAAATTATATCCAGTTGGGCGGGTTTGAAAGGGCAAGTGCTCTCCCAACCTTCCCTCGTGAGGAGGGGGCACCTAAAGGCTGTCGGATTTTTAAGGGAAATGAAAATGAGAATTTTTAAAATTCAATCATAGGTACTACAAGCAACTGAAGCCTTGAATACATATACCGAGATCAATTAACATCCCAAAACCCTCAGTCGTCGAATCCTATCCAGTCGGGCGGTTTGTAAGGGTAAGTGCCCTCCCAACCTCCTTTCACAGGGAGGGTACGCAAGGAGGCTGCCGAAATGAAAATTGACAAAGGACCCTCACATGATTAATTTCAAACAAAAAATTATCATTTTAAATGATTTAATATATATACATATATGTGTGCGGGTAACTAAAAGTAAAAGACCTTTATTCACCCCGCTTGCAGAAACTTTACACCAATTTATCCATTCCAAAAGACTTTCATAGGTTGGCAATTGAACCTAAATCAAAGCAGTTAATATCTCCATTACTTAAGTGTCGCATAACTAAGTAAAAAAAAAACAAGTACTTGACTTTCTTCAGCGACATAGAAAATGCATCATTTCATTATGCCACTCAGCGGCAAATAATCGTGAATTAGATGTCAGGAGAAGAAGGATATAGTTTGGATATTCTTATTTTAGTTAGAGCTCTTTATCTTATCTTCTTCCAAGCTTTGGTAGCGATTTGCCATAATAGAGTATCCAGCACCTGCATTTGAGGATGAACATCTAAAATTTCTTCAATCATAGACTATCGGTGAATGGAAGACAATTCAGAAATAGATCAACACTCCATCCACCATTAAGTATAAGATGTTGCACTTGAAACAAGTTGTGGAACATCGCAAGCCCATATGTTCCCTAATGATTTTAAACCCTTAGTAATGAATCACAGGATATACTTGATAGAAACATAGCCATTTTTGTCAGCTAAGGTGGATTCAAATGTATCCCCTTAGATATAAATCACCCCAGGTCTATACAATATATTTTTGGACGAAGCAACCCATGGTTGTCGCAAAGGTTTCTTCTATCAAATTGGGTCGACTACCTCCTCTGACTAAGTAGACCAGAGAACAAGACAGCCCAGGAGGACCAAACCATGGGATCTTGATCGGGCTCATTTTCATTCCCCATATCATCCGTTTTTTAAGTATACGATGATAAATTTTAAATCATAAATTCTAAAATCTAATACCAAATTCAAAACCCTAAAAATTGTTGGGTACTCAGTGCCTATCTCATGACTAGCCTTAATCAAAAGTTCTCTCTCATTATCGGGAGAGGTAATTAATTATAGGGGCTTGCGCCTATAAGAACTAGAACTCAGATCATAAAATCCTTGCAAAATGAGGGAAAAATCTCTGGGTAGTGTCTTATCTTAAACCTAATTTACCTTTTGAAATTTTACCAGAAACCTAAATCCGTTAAAACTTTCCCTATCAAATGTCAACAAAAAGCACGGCGCAAAGAGGCTGGGGTGCAAATTTCTAGAGCCCACAAATCTTTCTTTCTCAGTTTACCTAACACCCATTTTACATTCCCATTCGTCACATTCAACTAGGCTATGATTGCTTTCTTCGATCACCCAACACTTCATTATTTTTTAATTTCCTCCATATGACAAGGGTGCGCCAAGCCCATGCAATAGTGCAACATGAGGTCGATGCTGAAGAACTCTAGCAACAAGATATTGTAGCAGTTCTTGCCTATCAAAATTAATTTAATATCACAGTGGACTAATGGCCCACATATCAAATATTAGATTGATAATAATAGAAACTTCACTTGATCGTAGCCAAAAGGATGATAAAGTTATAGTTTGTTTGTAGTTCATTAATAATTACTATTGAAGCTTTCATGCTATTCTTTTATGTAATAATATCATTAAAGCACTTCTCCATCTTAAACAGCTTATCTTAACTTTGTAAGTTGTATACTAAATAATATCCTCTTCTATTATATAACAAAATCAAGATATTGATACATATCATATTTAGATATCATCATATCTTCTAAAGATATTAACTAATTATTATTAATATCACGCTCGTTAAAATTGTACATCATATACTTGATCTTTAGTCTTGCTAATTCTAGGCACTTTCCTTGAGAATTTTTTGTTCATTCCAAATAAAAAACTTATTTTGGCAAGGATCTTACCTATCATAATAGTTCAACTACAAATAAATCAAGTTAAATGATTTTGAATATCATTTTTAAGCATATCTATAATCAATTAAAAGAAAAGGACAGCTGATCCCTAATGTAGACTCACTGTGATTGAAATTCATTTAATCACTCTACAATCATATCTAATGATAGTCAATGCTTCATTATAAATATCTATAATAACTTCGACACATCTTTGATACATTACCTCTCTTTATTACACACCAAATAACCTCTCATGTAGTCAATCATATTTGTTCTCAATATTTGATACACTACCTCTCTTTATTACATAGCAAATAACATCTCATGTAGTCAATCATATATGTTCTCAATGTTTGATACACTATCTCTCTTTATAACACAATAAATAATCTCTCATGTAGTCAATCATATCTAATGAAAATCAAATCTATAATAACTTTGACACATCTTTGATACACTAGCTTTCTTTATTACACACCAAATATCCTCTCATGTAGTCCATATTTGTTCTCAATGTTTGATACACTACCTCTCTTTATTACACAGCAAATAACCTCTCGTGTAGTCAATCATATCTAATGATAGTCAATGCTTCATTATGCATATCTATAAAAATTTCGACACATTTTTGATACACTACCTCTCTTTATTATACACCAAATAACCTCTCATATAGTCAATCATATTTGTTCTCAGGTTTGATAAAAACATGTGATGATACTTCATTAGCTATGTATATTTTTCTATTAATTGTTTTATCACTAGAGTCTCATCAATGGAAGATCTACCTCTAATAAATTGAGCTGATTTTGTTAATTCTACATTACCCTCTCCCATATCTAAACTGCATGAGCTATGCGATAGATTCCTCTATAATTTTAATCAAGGTTGTGAAAACTGGACTGGACAGTGAACCGGAAGAATGAGAGGTTTAGGGTTCGATCGAACCAGATGACTTAATAAATATATTCAAAATATATATTATATTTCCAATGCATTTCATGATATATTGTAAAAAATCACATATTCAACTTGCACATATAAAAATGAAATCTGAAAAGAGAAATTTTATTCAATTTGAGTTTTTTTAACATAAATCAAAACATCTATTTGTAGGCTCCTCATTTCCTAAACTAGGATATAACTAGCATAAGTACAGTTTAACCCAAAACTTAATTTATGAACGAATACAACTTAAAACCACAAGCAGTAAATTTTAAATCCCAAATTCTAAAACCGGCAATGAAAGTTTATGCATTTAATGATAGCATGTAAAATAAGTGTACATCACACCAGTTTTAAAAAATATGGCATATCATCATTTATTATGCTGCACTTTGTACAGCTTTCTCAAAAAAAAATATAAATAAAAAATTTGATTCCCGCTTCCTTCTTCCTCTTCGTGAGACCTGTCATTTCGACGAAGCATAACACACTCATGCGACCTCTCCAAGGCTCCCCTGCGATACACGACTTCATCGGTGAAAAAAGAATCCTGCTTGCCGAACTCCATCGCAGTCGAATCTTCAATCAATGGCTCAAGATCCACAGTTTTGGAACCGCTCAGTTCTTAATACCCGGCGCCGGTTCGCCGGTCTGACCGACCGGGCAACCGGTTTTGCATCGGTCTGACTAGAAGCTAGTTTTTTGAAGGATAAAGCTAACCAGCCAGATGAGAAGTTCACGGTTCAACCGGTTGAACTGGACGGTCCGATCCTGTTTTAAAACCATGATTTTAATAATCCCAAACATCTCCTTTATTCTTAAATATAAATACCAAATATGTATTCAATCAGTTGATGTATCCTCAGTCTTTTAGATTGCATTAAAAATTTTGATAATTAAACTACTCCAACGTATTCCATAAATATTCAAATCTCAATAAAGATCACATTTGAGTTGAAAGCTTCAGCTTTATGCATCCTCTTAATAACCAAGATAATACTACTTTTTCAGTCAAACTACGAAATATTTTGTGATTCTAATTTTCAAGCTCTTGTAAAATATTTCTTCCTTACAGATCCTAATTTAATACTTTCTAAAAAGTAGTATTTTCATCTTTCTTTGATATTTTTTAACTAAAATTCTACTACTTTCACTTTTAATGCATCTGTGATCAAATTCTTGAAATCTTAGATATACTATCATAGCAATTTTATAAATCTCTTTATCTCTTTCTTTAGTATCTATAATATTAGATAAATAATAAAAAAATTAAAACTTTTTTGCTTTGCTTTACTACCCTTGCAGCAAAATTTTTCACTTTTATATAATAATTGTTTTCCTTAATAGTTGCTATTGTCATTCTTTAGCTAAACATTTCTTTGCCTTAGTGTTAACTATGCAAACTTGCACCTGATTCTGTAAAATTAGGGCTGCATATAATCAAGTTGCTTTCATTCAAACAAAGAAAAAAAAAAGTAAGAATTTCATTTCAAAACAAGATACACTCTTTCACCAAACCAGTCAGGACTTAGAATGGGACATCTGCAGGAGCATTAATGGCTATGTATACTGCTTTAAGCCTTGAAGGTAAAGCTGAAAATAACTTGATGCTTGAACAACGATCATCTTGGTATTTGATAGTCCTACTTGGAACTAGTTTTGAAGTTTTAACATGAACATCATACAACATGACAAGGGTACTTAGGTTTTACAAGAACTCTACCTACAATTTATTCAACTAGAAAAATCCATGCAATATTAAAAAAAAATAAAAGAAATGAATAATGTTGAAAACTTTTCCTCCCAAAAATTCAACATAAAAAGTTATGCAATTAAAAGCAAAGTCAAATGTTAAAAGTTACCTTATAGCTTTGGCTTCAAATTGGAGAATCCTTCAAGCAAAAACTCAGAAGTTCCCATGGAAGATGAAAGCAAAAAAATTAATAATCAAAATACAGACTGCGGACAAAGTTTATCCTCCAACTTCATCCTTGGTACTCTTATGCTGTAATGGCATTGAACAAAGTTTGTATGTTAGAGCTACAAAGCATGAGCAAGTTTATTTAAGAGAATCAGAGATTAAAATATGTACCAGAAATGCCCAAACGAGAAGAAAATTTCTCTTCTACCTTACTTTTCTTGTGCTTGTGAGCGTCAGTGATATCCTCACTACCCTCGAGCTTTCTTTTCTGTGATAAAAACATATATTATGTAAAACAAAACTACACATCATGAACAAAAAAGGTAGGGCAAGTGAGTAGCAAAACCTTGTCATGATGTTTCTTTGAGTGGTCACCACCGGAATCATGATGCCCACTCTTCTCCTTTTTCTTTTCTTTATCTTTATCTTTGCTCTTGTCTTTGTGGCGATGTTTATGCTTCTTATGCTCCTTGTCCTTTTCCTTATCCTTCTCCTTGTGCTTCTTGTGTTTTTTTGATTTATTCTTTGACTCTTTTGACTTCCCACTACTAGTAGGAATCCCCTTATCTGCCTGTATATAGGTCAAACAACTATTTTTACCAGGATTAAAATTTTAAAAGAAAATTATAGGTAAAAGGAGAAATCATACAGAGGACAAATCAATGGGAGCTGTTTCTTGCAATTGAAATGCCTGACCAAGGGTGTCTAGATCAAATGGCTGTATAGTAGATGGCTCCCTCAAGTATGAAGCATTCTGAAAGAGTTGATCTAGCTCCATCCCTTCTCCTTTTCGAATTTCAGTATCACCAACAACATTGTGCAGATAATGCGTGTCCGAAATTGACTGAGGCAATACCCTTTTGCAGAAGAAATCATGGTGTACCAACAGTTTGTAATGACTAATAAGGTCAATAGCACCAGTGAGCTCCCGAGGTCCTGAAATTTTCAAATAAAATCCCATGTCAAAACTATTGAGTATAAAAACTATGATATAATCCTTATCAGTTATAGAGACACAAATAAATGAAGTCAAAGATTTTTAAGTTGCTCTCAAACCTAATCATAAATTAAATTCAAGCCTGGGAATTCAGACGGTGATCATCTATACATTAAAAAAAACAAACATTCCAATTGCTGATTAAGTTGTCTAATGACCACCGAATGATAAATATACCATTAGCTTACTGATGCAGGACTAAGTATGAAATGCTTTAGTTCATTTAGACTTTGCACAACTCTTGATTAGAATAATCATGGAACAAAACTCATAGCAGTTTAAAATGACAGATCAAAACAAATAAGGGGTCACACCCGCTTAGGCCAAATTACGTAGCAAGAGATTAGAAGCCGTCAAAATAAATTCAGAAAAAAACACAATGACAAGTAGTAGTTTCAATGGAATCCCTAATCTAACCATAAGAGTTAATAAGCATAAAGTCGCACTCAAATCCTACGTTTACTAAGCTTTAGCATGAGCAGTAGAGAATTGTCCTTCGTGACTGTCATCAATCCCAAGAGAAGTTATATTTAGGAAATCTAATGAAAGGAGAAAGAGAAACCTTCGTCAAGGAATGGTGGAGATCCTTCACTCGATGCCTTCGAAGTGCTCGTCAATTGCTTCCACTAAGGTGTCCATAATACACTCCAAGTAATCCTCGACGTTGTGATCAATCCTTTGATTCACGTCGAAGAAGGTGGATTGTAGGATGTCAGTGAAACCGTCCTCGTTCCACGTTATTCCATAGTCAGTCTCCAGATCCGCCATTCATGGAGCTCGGTGGCAAAACTCTTCCAACTTGATGGTGCACTTGAAGATAGTCGAAGAGGAAGAAGATCCTCTAGCAATTTGAAGGGGGGGAAGAGCTAAGACCAAAAATCTGAAATTAGTTTCAGATTTTTGCAAAGGTGGAGAGTTAATGAGGGGGAAAAGGGATTGGAGAGAGAGAGAGAGAGAGAGAGAGAGAGAAA